CGGGGACGTCGCGTGCACAACAGCTTCGACAGCCACTTAACCACCGCATGCTGAGGGGCCAGCAGCAATTTGACTCTCTGCTTGGTCGCATGAGATCAGATGCCCATATCGCTGAGCGAACCCCTGGCAATATCGGTGGTATCTTCAGCTACGGTCGCCGCGCGGAGACCTTCCATGCTGAAGCTAACGTAGGGCAACCTGCTTCCAACGTCTGGAACGGCGATCCACAACCAACGGAAGCCACCACACGATTAACTCAAAATGGTGGTTCGGCCTCGGGGTTGCAAGGCTCCAGGGCCAGGTTTCGGGGACCGCTGGACGCGGCAGCCCCTTACGTAAGCCTTTTTTACCCTAGTAGGCTCAACGGGGCAACCCGCTGAGTCCGACTTCGACTCTGGAACGGACACTGACACGTCCTCAGACGACGAGGCGACTGCCCTAGATAGACTATTCCGACATGCCCACGTATCTCACGCAAAAACAACAGGCGCAATGGCTATTCTTAGGATATCAGCAACACAAACGCATATGGAGACGATTTATGAAGAAGCCAGTTCGTAATGTACGACGTACTACCCGACGGGCACTTAGGGGAAAGGGTAAGGGTCGGGGCAAGGGTAAGTGCAGACGACGGCGACTGCATGGCAGAGGTATGTTAGCATTCCTGTCATCCCTTAATGGTCCGCAATATGAAAAGGTGTTCCTAGGTGCAGGCGGCCCCAGTGCCGCCGCCCGCATGCGTCCCGCACACCAAATTCGGCGCACCCCTCACACGCTTCGTGGCCCCATAGGGAGCTGCACCGAAAGCTTCAGTGCCGTCGCCCGCATGCGTCCCGCACGCCCAATTCGGCACACCAGTCACACGTTTCGTGGCCCCATAGGGAGCTGGTGGTCCCGACAGCTTCCCTAGGGCTGATTTCTTCGTCGTCGTCGTCGTCCGTCGTCGTCGTTCGTCGTCGTCGCCGTCGTCGCCGTCGCCCTCGTCGTCGCCGTCGTCGCTGTCGCCCTCGTCGTCGTCGACGTCGTCGCGCGCGTCGCGGTGGCTCCGCGTAGCGCGGCGCCCGCAGCCTTGAACTTTGGAGTTCGCGGGCAAAGAGGAAAGAAAAGAAGGGGGGAAGCGGGCGCGATCCTCGTGTGGGGCGTGCCGACATGGGCGTCGCGGCGCGCGGGCGTTGCCGTCGGGGGTCCCAGGGAAACCTTTTGCGGAGGCTACGCTCAGTGTCACGAGTTCTCAGAGTCAGGCATACCCAAACCATTCACACTCGTATGCATTGACACTCGGCGACTCCATGCTCGCAGTCTTGCAAATACAATCAATCGCACGCATATTCATGCAGAATCAGACCCGCTCGCGCTTACACTCGCCCGTGCTCGAGTTCTCATACTCAGACATATCGTTTTCGTTCGTGTTGTGTACCCTATCACACAATTCGGCACACACGCACACACACACACACACACCTCATACGGTTCGTGACCCACCGGGAGCGCCACCGAATATTATATTTATACATACAATATATACAATTGCGGTATTCACAACTGCGTATGGTTGGGTCCTTCGCCGGGCTAATTGTATTGTTTTCTTGCCCCCCCTACGAGTTCAACGGACCAAATTGGCGTTTCCAGTTTTTGTCCGGTCAGGTGGTCATTATGATTATTTCCCAACCATCCTGTGGTGTTGGATCCGCGTTTTGAAGAGAGCGCCCCGCGTCACTCCTCCTCTCCTCCCCCCTTCTCCCTCCCACCATCATCGTCGTCATCATCATCATCGTCACCGTGAACGTCGTCGTCCTCATCATCGTCATCACCATCATCATCGTCACTATCATCCTCATCACCATCATCATCGCCATCATTGAAACCATGATCGTCATCAGCTTTGGCACACCCGTCACACGCTTCGTGGCCCCATAGGGAGCTCCACCGAAGGCCCCTGTGCCGCCGCGCGCATGCGTCCCGCACACCCAATTCGGCACACCCCTCACACGTTTCGCGGCCCCATAGGGAACTCCACCGAGGGCCCCAGTGCCGCCGCCCGCATGCGTCCCGCACGCCCACTTCGGCACACCTCTCACGCTTCGTGGCCCCATAGGAAACTCCACCGAAGGTCCCAGTGCCGCCGCCCGCATGCGTCCCGCACACCCAATTCGGCACACTTCTCACACGTTTCGTGGCCCCATAAGGGAGCCCCACCGAAGGCCCGAGTGCCGCCGCCCGCATGCGTCCCGCACACCAAAGTCGGCCACCGAAAGCCCCAGTGCCGCCGCCCGCGTGCGTCCCGCACACCCAATTCGGCACACTCCTCACACGCTTCGTGGCCCCATAGGGACTTGCACCGAAGGCCCCAGTGCCGCCGCCCGCATGCGTCCCGCACGCCAAATGTGACATGTTCACCCACCCAGTACAGCGCTTCGTGGCCACATAGGGAGTTCCACCGAAGACCCCTGTGCCACCGTCCGCATGCGTCCCGCACACCCAATGTGGCATTTTTACCCACCCAGTACAGCGCTTCATGGCCCCGTAGGGAACCCCACCGAAGGCCCCAGTGCCACCGCCCACATGCGTCCCACAAACGTAATGTCGCATTTTCACCCATTCAGTACAGCGCTTCGTGGCCCCATAGGGAACTCCACCGACGGCCCCGGTGCTACCGCCCACATGCGTCCCCCACACCCAGTGCAGCAGTCCGTGGCCCCGTAGGGAGCTCCACCGACGGCCCCAGCGCTACCGCTTGCATGCGCCCCCCCACCCAGTGCAGCATTGCGTGGCCCCATATAGGGAGCTTCACCGGAGGCCCCGGTGCTACCGCCCGCATGCGTTCCTCCCACCCAGTACAGCGTTTCGTGGCCCCATGGGGGGCTATTCCGACGGCCCCAGTGCATTCGCCCGCATGCGTTCCCCCCCACCCACTGCAGCGCTTCGTGGCCCCACAGGGAGCCCCACCGAAGAAGATGTTCACAATTGCGGTGCCCACTACTGCATATGGCTGGGTCTTTCGCCAGGATAATGTTTTTCTGTTCCTCTTCCTCCTCGTCCCCCGTCCTAGTCGTCTTCCTCTTCCATCAGCTGTTGCTGCTCGGCAACGCGCAGAGGGGGGTAGGGGGAGGGGGGAGGCTAAGAAGCAGGGTGCTTCTAAGAAACCTTCCCCCTCCCCCTACCCCCCTTTGCGCGCCGCCAAACTGCGTCGCTGCTCATGCAGATTCTGTTCCTGCTGTTGCCGCCGCCTCTGCTAATGCTGTTGCTGCCGTATCTCTCAGGCGGAGTGCTGCAGCGAGGGTGCCAGATGTATGGGCAAGGCTGGCGAGCTGATATACGAGGACGCCTGGACCTTTCTGTTCCCCTTCCACTTCGTGCCCTTTTCCATCACTGCCTCCTCGCCCCAACTGTCCCCGAAAGTCTCCGTTGACCCGGACCCGGGGGCCCCAGGGTCCTGGTGGACCTTTCCTCTCCTCTCTCGACTTTCCCCCCTCCGTGTCGCTTCGGGTTTAGCCTAGGGATACGGTTCGGCGTGCCTTTCCGTAGCCCTTTGGGCTTAGCGACCTCATTCCCATGTGCTGTGCATAAAGGCTCCCCCTCGCCCTTTCGATCCCTCCTCCCGCCGTGTGCCACACAGTGTCGGACAATGGTAAACGGAGCTGATGGTGAGGGGCAGCAGGGGAGCCCGAGGGCCAGCACGGCCAGAACAGAGGGAGCTCATGCCGGACAAACTGCCAGCGCCCAGACCGACAATGCGGGCCAGGACCCGTGGACGGCAAGTGCTCAGTGGTGGTCTGGATGGACGCCAGACGGCTGGCGCGCGGCAGGCTCATGGCAGTGGGTCCCCACTGCGGGGGCGAGCCAAGCCGCAGACCCAGCTGCGACGGCTGGCGCGGGGGCGCCGGCGACTGGCGAGACCGACGTGACGGACGCATGGCAGGGGTGGCGCGATCGAGGTGACCGTGATTGGAACTCAGGGACATGGGCGACTCCGAACCGTGATTTCGGCGCGCCCCCCGTCTGGCTAGGGTACGAGCACCTCGACGTTTACAAGAGCAACATCCGTGCGTGGTCAAATCGTACGGGATATGCAAAGGAGGTGCAAGCAGGGAAGATACTTGAGACGCTGCCCGTAGACATTCAGCTGAATTTCAAGTTGATTCGAACGACTCTCGATGTCAGAGCAGGTACCGACCTTCTTCTAGACCACTTGGCGGTGCTGAACGGAGAACGGCCGGGAGACAAAGAACGCGAAGCTCACAACCTGGCGCTGTTCGACTATTGCATCCGCCGAGACGAGAGCATCACTGACTACGTCTTGAGGCGGGACGCCCAGCTAGCACAGGCTGAATCGTTCGGGCTGTCTCTACCGGATAATGTGAAAGCTAGGTTCCTGGAGGAAGGAGCTAACCTGAGTCCGCAAAATCTCATCGACCTTCGAACTCTTGCGGCGGGATATCGGAGTGCGACAGCAGTTAGACAGGCCTTGTTCCAGCTTGATGTGCAAGAGCGAGGAGTACTGCCAGGCGCCAAGGCGACGGGCGGCAAAACCTACGTAGAGCAGGAGATCGTCGAGGAGGTTCTGCCGCCGCCCTCGCCGTGGGTCTCGGACGTTGACGTGTCGACTTACTTCGAGGACGTGGACGACAGTTTCGAGCTGCTCGAGGACGACGCGAAGGTGTTCTTAGAGGCGCTCGACGACCAGGATCTAGATGAGTCCGACCTCATGCCTGTGCTGGCGGCCATCATCGAAGAGAAGATCGGCAAAGAGAAACGTCGTGCGTGGGCTGAGGCGCGCAAGGTGAAAGCTACCCGTCGAGTGGACCGTGAGTTTTTCGATCGTCGCCGCGCCGCCCGCCCAGGATACAAGTGCATCACCTCCGTTGACTTGAAGAAGAAGACTCGGTGCGTTAACTGTGGCGAGCGTGGTCACTGGGCCGAGGACTGCCGGAAACCCTACAGGTCCAAGTCTGATCGGCTCGCGGGAGAGAAGAAGGAATCGGCGGCTGCTGCGACGAAAGGTTACTCGAGTTGGTCGGGCTACGCCTTCATGGGCGCGGAGGACGACCCTACATTCCTGGAGAACGTGCAGTTGACGAAGCTCGAGATGACGGCCGACTGCGTCGAAAGTGTGACGGCTGATACCTGTGCCGCTGGTTTGGCCTCGGATCCGGTTGACTGGCGCTCGACAGGCACGTGGGCGACCTTCTCCATCGAGGAGTGGGTTGGTCTGGTCAGTGGGAAGACGGTGTCCGAGCTGAATTTAAGGAACATGAGGGATCACGGACTCGTTGACACCGCTGCTGGGCAGGCACTTCGTCGGGGCGCCGGACATCGAGAACCTGCGGGGGGCCTTCAAGCAGAGGGGCTACCACGTGCACGTCGACTGGACGCCTGTGCAGGGCAGGAGGGCTATGGGTATAGGCGGGTCTGCCGAGCCCGTTGGCCGTGCCTGGGTCCCGTGTTCTCTGGCGGGGTTCGGGTATATCGAGTTCCTGATCCTCGAGGGCCAGGTGCCGCCGATACTTCCAGCGAAGTTTCTCGAGAAGATCGAGGCGAACGTTGACCTGGTCAGCGACGTGATGACCGTCGCGGACTGTGGGGAGCGCGTGGAGAGGAGCCTCTTTCGCCACCCATCTGGTCACAGATCCGTCTCGCTGATCCACTGCGCCCCCGAGCACTTCCGCGTCCCATCGCAGCTGCTGATGAGCTTGCCGCGGGGGTGCTCGACGGGGCTGCCTCAGGACTGCGCGGGGAAGGGCAGTGAGAGCGCGAGTCCGTCGGCCCAGTCAGCCCTCCTCTCCTTTCTCGCTCGCTCGAGGCCACCAGGAGCTCTTGGGACTTCGGGAAAGGGTGTCTCGGGGTCTCCTGGGGACAGCGGGTCCGTAGATTGCCTGGTTCGAGAGCAAGACTCAGCCTCTGACCAGCCCAACTGAGAGTTTCGGCCATTTGATGATCAAGAAGCTCGGCAAGAAGAAGATGCAGCGCAAGCCGAGGACGCTGGGCTCGATCGTCGAGAGCGACACCGACATGTCCGGTTCCGAGCGGGAGGCGCTTCCGGAGACGATCGAGGCGGCTCTCGACCCAGACCTCCTGATGCCATGATTTTTTCATGACGCTACATATGTAATGAATTTAATATATTGTTATGATTTTTGAAAGTAATATCCAACTATCCTCCCTCCAATACAATCATTCCAACCCAACTTATTGCAATCCAAACCGATCAATCGCATGATATATATCGCTGCGGCCCAATATATATATATATATATATATATATTATATTATATGTGTGTGTGTGGTGTGTGTGTGTGTTGCAGTCCAATCCCACTGGCGGTCCCTAAGGGGGGCTATGCGACTTTCTTAAGAAACGATTTGCAGGCCAGCGATGATGATGATGACTAGATGAGAAGGAGGAGGAGGAGGATGAGGAGGAGGAAGGAGGAGGGGGGGAGGAGGCGGAAGGAGGGAGGAGGAGGAAGAGCTCGCAGGTCTCCCGACCGATGGGGCTTGTGCCTCGCGCGCGCGCGCCAGCGGCTCGAGCCCCGAGCTGGCTCAGGGCCCAGGCGCGCGCGTCGCGGCGCGCTGGCGCGCCGCGATGTCGGCGGAGGCAGCTGCCAGCCACTCCCCAAAACCTAGGGGGTCGAGGGCGAGGGTGAGGATGGATGGGGGGAGGGGTAGGGGGAGGAGGACGGAGGATGAAGGAAGAGGAGGTAGGAGTAGGAGGAGGAGGTGGAGGAAAAGAGGGGGACAGGAGGAGGAGGAAAAGGAGGAGGAGGAGGAAAAGGAGGAGGAGGAGGAAGAGGAGGATCACTGAGGGAGCTGCCAGGTCAGCGAGCGTGCCAGCACTGATCAATTCCGCAGGTTTCCCAAACTCGAGGAATCCCAAACTCGCCGCCAGGGGGGGGATGACGACGATGATGAGGAGGAGGAGGAGGGAAGGAGAAGGGGGAGGAGGAGGAGGAGCCAGGAGGAGGAGCCAGGAGGAGGAGGAGGAGGAGGAGGAGGAGGAGGAGGAGGAGGATGGAGGATGGAGGATGGAGGATGAGGCTGAGGATGAGGACGGGGACGACGACGAAGAGGAGGAAGAGGGGGCGAGGAGGAGGAGATGGAGGAGAAGGATGAGGAGGAGGAGGAGACCTAAGTCGCTACGGCTGGATTCGCAGAGAAACCTTGAGGAGGGGAAGAATGAGGATGATGAGTGCCCCCCCCCTGCTGGCCCAGGCGAGGGCCTTCCGCAACGAGATGACGGCGCGGCTCGACCCCGACGTCGTCGCCGCGGTCATGATCCCCCTCCCCCCTCCCCTCCCTCAGGAGCGAGCTAGGAGTTTGTCAGGTTTCAATGTTTTGATGTGTTCTGAAACCAGCTCGAGGTGTTTTGATGTGTTTTGATGTGTTTTGAATGGAGTTTCTCCCAGACCTCATCCTGCCACGTGGCAGGAAGAGGTCCGGCATTCAAGCCCAGGTGATCTGGGGCAACTGGAAGGGCGAGATGCCGATCATGCAAGGCGGCGGTGGACGAGGTCGAAGGATCAGCAGGGAGGAGGAAGAGGAGG